ATTTTAGCTATAGCCTTTATTTATTCTTTTATTATAAATATACTTAATATATTTACTTTAAATTTTAATAATTAAACTAATAAATATATATTAAATATTTTTATAAAAGATATTATTAATTATAACTATTTAAATAAACTAAAAATTATTTCTAAATATAAATAGTATTTCTTAAAAGTATTACTAAATATTATAATATTATTAATATATACCTTAATAAATTAATAAAAGGAGTATAGCTTTTAGTTTATAAATTATTAAGTAAATAGTAGTAAATTTTTATATTTTATTATAATTATATAAAATATTTCTAAACCTCTTAAACTAATTAATATTATTTAGTCCTTATAATTTATATATATTAGTAATTAATAAAAAAATACTAATATATTTAGTATAATAATATACTTTTTACCTCTTAGGAAAATAATAATATTTTTTTATAATAAAATTAAGTATATATTAAGGATTATAATCTTATTTAGTAATTTAAGGTTAATTACTATATATTTTTTCTTTTTTTTATTTATTATTTACTAAACTATAAAAACTAAATAGCTTAATAATATTAGTTATTTTATTTAATTAACTCTGCCTTATATATATAACTAATTTATTATATTATTTATAAACTTCTAATCTTTAATCCTAAGTGGGTATAAGTATATTAGTATTTTCTAATTTTATTAATTTTCTATTAAATTAATTTTTATTTTTTCTTTTTTTAATAGTAGAATTATCTCTTAATTATACTATATATTATATTATTTAATAATTTATTAAATTACTTTAGCTTTATTTAGTTATTTATTATATACTTATACCTTATTTAATAATACCTTTTCCCTAATATTTATAAGTTTTTTTATTATACTTTATTTATTTAGGGGTATAAAACTAATTAAGTTAATATTTTACTAAATTACTTTTAATTTTTTTAAAAATATTTTAAATAGTATTACTATTATTTTATTATTAATTATATTACTAATTATTTAGTCTAACTAATAGTTTAGTATTACTTATACTTATTTTACTATTATTATTAAGTAAGTATTTATATTATAATTTACTAAATAGCTTACTTTTCATTTTTATTATAAAATAATTAATTTCTTTATTAAGTTTATTATTATTATTTAATTAATATATTTATTTACTCTAGGGGTATTTAAAGTATATATATAATTTATTACCCCTAGGGTTTTTATAATAAAGTAATATATTTTTATATTATTATATAAATTAAACTTTTCTAATTATATATATTATACTAGTACTTTTTTAAATATTCCTAGTTAAATTACTATAATTTTTACTACTATTATTTACTAATTAACTTATATATTTTTTTATATAATTTTTATTAAAATCTTAATATTATATATTAATTTAATTATTATATATTAGTTAGTTATTATTAAGTTAATACTATATTAGTATATAAAATTTATTTTTAATAATATATTCAATTTAAGGTCCTTCTTAAGCTATACTTCTGCTTAGAAATATAATTTTACTAATATATTATTTTTTATTATAGCTATATAGAAATTAAAGTTAGCTTTTTAGGTTATTTTTACTAAGCTATTTATACTATATATAATATTAAGTTATTCTATTGTAAAATAAGTTATATTTTTTAAATATTTATGTAATTATTTCTTATTAATTATAATATTTAAGTAATAAAAATTTAGTTCCTTAGTTATTTTTAGTTTATTAATTATAAATTATAAGTTAATTTTTATATATATATATTTTATTAAGCTTAATATCCCTAGCCTTACTTATACCTTAATAACCTATTTTAGTTAAAATATAAAACTATTAATTAGTTAATTAGTTATTTTTTATTAATACTTATATATATTTAAAACTATATATTTTATTAATATAAATTATAAGTTAAATTTTCTATTATATTTATAATAAATATAATTTATTAGTTTAAATACTTATTTTAGGCTTTATTATTTATTATATTTAAATAGTAAAGTTACTTTAGCTTTAATACCCTTTTAGATATTTAGCTACTTATAGGGTTTATTAATATAATAAGTAATAATTTTATTATTTTTTATATACTTTTTATTATTAAACTACTTAAATTTTTTTATTATATAATAGCCTTATATTTTTAAACTACTTTTAACTTTCTTAAACTTTAAGTTATTAATATTTATATATATATTATTTATATATTTAATAATATTAATATTACTAATATATTTAAACTATTAGTAATATTATTAATATTTATTTAAATAATAATCTTTATTTTAATTTTTATTTTAAAATCTTTTATTTTTTTAAATATAATCTTTTATATTATAAATTTTACTTTTTTATAAATAATACTAATTTTAATTATAATTTATACTTACTTAAATTTCTTAGCCTAGCTTATTATAAAAATATAATTATTATTTATTTTAGTCTTATTTACTTTAAAAATATATTTATTAATTATCTTAGCCCCTATTATATATTTAATTACCTTACCTTAGTAAAAAATTCTATAATTAACTATTATTATAATAGCCCTTTATTTTTTAATTCTTTATTATAAATAATACTACTAGGAAAGCTAATAATTTATTTTATTTAAGTATTTATATATTTTATAATACTTAAATAAATATTAGTTTTACTATACTAGCTTAATATACTTATTACTTTTCTCTTAAATACTTTAAATATTTATTCTTAATTATAAATAAATAAGGCTTAAATAATAATTCCTTTAGCACTAGACTAATATATAAATATAATTAAGTAAGCTATTAAAAGTTAATTATAAAACCTACTATTTATATTATATAAAAAAACTTTATAACTTATACTTAAATATTAATATTATTATAATAGTCCTTATTTATATATTTTTAATTTTCTAATATAGTAATTATATTAACTTAATTTAAGTAAAATTAATAATAAAGCGTTTTTATTTATATATTAATTAATATTTTAATAAATTTTTTTTTTATAAAAGTAATAATAAACTTTATTAATATAGTATATTTTTTTATAATAGCTATAGTAAATTAATATAAATATACTATATTTTCTTATTTATTAAAGTATTATTTTTAATACTTTTAGTAAACTAATTAATATTATTTTAAATAATTATATTATTATTAATAATACTATTTATAATATTAAAGTTAAAATAATTAATATATATTAACTTTTAAAAATCTTTAATTTTTTTATTTCTTTAGCCTACTAGCTAAATTATTATAATAACTATTTTTACTATTTTTACAAAGTACTTAAATAAGTAGCTAAATTACTTATTAAATAAAGTAATTAATAATATACTTAGTAGTACTTAAGTTATATTATTAAGTATAATAAATTATTTTTTTAAACTAGATCTTATTAATAATATTAATATATATAATTTATTTATTAATAATAATAAATAATTAAATATATTTATTTTAATTAAAATCTTTATATATATTTTTAGTATATAATATACTAAAGTATATAATTAATAAGTAAAATTAACTTAAATATTAATAAAATAGTATATATATACTTATATTTTTAAAAGTAAAAGCCTAAGTAATACTTACTTAAGAAGTTATTAATAATTTCTTTTTATTAATATTATAACTACTTTTTTAGTTATTAATAAAGTAAATAATATATATTTAATATAAGTAAAATAGGTAGTAGGCGCTAAGGGTATAAATTACTATTAGGAAGGTATTAATAAAGTTAATAATACTACTTTTTATTTTAGGCTTTCCTTAGTATTTTAAAAATATATATTTATTTATAATTTATATATTTATAAAGGAGGTAAAATATATAATTATATAAGTATTTTATTATTAAAGTATAGCTAAGTAATATTATCTTTAAGAGTTAGTTTAAATAATAATCTTTTTAACTAGTATTAGTATTACTAATATTTAATAAATTTAGTAAATTACTATTATAAACCCTAGTTATTTACTTATTTAAGAGGGTATACTTTAGGGAAGCTAGAAGTATTAATATTATTAAATATACTAATATTTTTAGTAACTAATTCTATAATTAGTAAAATAATAGTATAATTTTATCTTATTAATAGCTTAATATACTAATATTAGGTCTTTATAAATAATACTATTTATTTTATTATTTATTAAAGCTAGTTTAATAATATATATAAAAAAATAAGTAAATAAATAAGAAATAAAAAATTAAATAAAAGAAAAAAATAAATAAATAAACCTTAGATATTACTTAATAAATAAATTATTTAGTAGTAAGTTAATAAAAAAAGAGAAAATAAGAAATAGTAATAGTTATAAAATATATATATAATTACTATTAGTTAGTAGGGTATATAAATAATATAAAAAGCTTAATTCCTCTTTAACTAACTAACCTTAGTAAAGTAACTAGAAGGCAGACTATGCGGCACACCGTGCCGCACGGATCTACACACTGTGCATAGACTATATAAGATCCATCTATCTATCTAGCCCCAATAATAAAGGAAGAAAGCCTTTGAGTTAAAGCTATAACTTTGTGGCTAAGAATAGTTTATAAAAAGAGAGGTTTCCCTCTCTTTGTGAAGAGGGTTTAGAGAAAAATACAGTCCTTATTATATACTTAGCTGCTAGAGTATAACTAGTTACTGTTTTACTCCCTCTTTGACTCCTTCACTAACTCAATGAGAGTCATCAAGTCATAATGACTCACCTGATGAGTCATCTTTAGCTGAGCTATAGATAGCAGTCACCACCTATTGGTGAAATATCAAGCTTTTAACCTTGATAACCTCTTTTTCTGAAAACCCGCGTGACATTCACTCTCCTATAGTGACTAGTGCTTTGATATTTTTATTTTATTTTATTTTATTTTATTATAATATCTTATACTCTAGAGTTAATAACTTAAATTATATTAAATTTATTAAAAATTTAATTTTAAAAATTTAATAAATTAATTAAGAAAATTGTAATAATTTAATTAATTAATTAATAGATTTAATAAATATATTCAATTTGACGGCAGCGCTGGACATTAACAATCTCTTTGCCAACACCTGCGGTCGATCCATTGACCTTGATCTGGAAATGGTCCTTAATGGCGTCGATGGTAACCTTCATCGATTGTATCTCACTACGGACCATCGACATCATAGTTGGCTTGATTTTCTGTGTTGAATTGGTGAGGTTGTAGATGGCAACATTGATGGATTGCATCTGATTGATGACCATGGCCAGCATAGCCGGCTGCATTTGGCCTGTCGAAGTGGTAAGGTCGTTGATGTGGACCGAAACATGCTCGACGTTCTCCGAAACGTTCTCAATGTCGACCGACATGTGCTCGACATTCTTCGAAACCTTCTCAACGATCTTCGTGACCTTCTCGACGTTTCTCAAAACCTGTTGAGTAAGGTTCCAGAGATGGCCAATCTCGTTGCGAATGTCGGCGAATGCCAGTTTCTAATTGGCATCGTCGCTGGCATTGGCATCGTCGGGGGAGTCGTTGGCACGGTAAACGTTGGCATGAGGCTGTGTGAGGTCACCTGATCTCCGTGTACCCCTGAGTACACCTTTAGATAGGTACCTACCTGTAGACAGACCTTCCACATTAGTAGGTTTAGATAGAGCATCTCATCTCTTACATATCTTCTGGTCCCTACCTTGTGACCTTGTATGTGAATGCGGCGAGAACATCGATTGGTGCGGCGGCAGCATCAATCAATGAGCTGTGGGCGGAGTTGTTGCGACAATCTCAGTAATTGGATTCGCGACGGTGTGGATAATTGGCTCTGGACTGGGATTGCTGGGAACAAAATTTTTTACTTGCTTGCTAATGATCTACCACACGGTTCGACGATGGCGCTACAATTTGGTCTTTTTACAAACACGGATTTGGGGTTTGGGAATAAAGGGCAATCGACGTGGACTGGAACAGTTTTTCTTTACGAACAGTTTGTATCAGATAGTATGACGACGGCGTCATAGTTCCACCGTTTTACGAAAGATAGGCAGGAATTTCAAGATCATTTTTGCGAATTCTACAGTCGAGTTGAACTCAAGGCGCAGTACGTAGGCTGGATGAAGCGCCTCAACACCAACAAAAACTTCGCCATGTGATATCACCGATGCGTATATTTCTTTGTTTATCGCGGAGTCATGAGACCTTTCAACATGATTCGACAACAAAAGACATTTATCCAAGTTCTTGGCGTTGGGAGTTTATTGTAGTAAAGTAAATGAAAGAGGTAGGGTATGCTTTCAGCTACGACCAACTGCTTTGTTCCTTTATTTGATGAATTGTCGGCCCTTTGATAGGCCTGAATCACCCGCTGAAATTGCTCTATGTGATTGAGGTTACATTTTCGACTATAAAAACTTCTCTTTTCTCTCCCTTCCCCCTCTTTTCTTTCCTCTTCAACTCTTCTCGTCCTCCATTCAGGTATACCAGTGTTCGCCTTTCCCTACCTTCACAATGTCTTCATATCTTGTGACACATTTCTAATATTTTTTTCCTTGCCACAGTTTCAGCCAAACCCACGGAGACGACGGGCACATCACAAGATCCTGCAGAAGAAAACTACGCCAGAAACCAAGCACACTGACGCCGCGATAATGTTTCCCCTCCGTCAGTCGGGAGAGTCGACTGAAACGCAACGCGCCGATCCCGAAGTCAATCATCCTACCAGCAAAAAGAAAGAGATACTATATAAATTTTTGCTTGACAAAGTTCCGAAGCTTCTCAATGACTCTCAAAGAAAAACCTCGGTGCAAGATCGGGTGGTCAAGAGGACACCTAGAGATCCCAATAAGGACGTTGAGGTCGACAAGGGTCTCGAAGGGATGCTTGATGAAGTCGCCGATGGTTTAATTGGCGATAATCAGAGTTGGGTAGTCCGTTCGGCTCTTCATTTGGTGTTAAAACACATCAGCAAGATTGACCGAGAGATTGATGATGAGATCTCCAATGAGAAAAGTATGGATGGACCAAGTGTCTCTTCAAGCGTAGAGAAGAGTCTGCTTGAATTAAGCAGAGATGTTGCCGAACTGCGCGCCAAGATCGATAATCTTACGGCGTATCACAAGACTGGAAAGTGGCCTGACAACTGATGTCGCTCGTCAAGTCTGCCTTTTAGCATCAGGGGTGGCATTTGCCTTCTTTGGGATCAACACGGGGGTTAGTGGTATTTTCTTGGAGGCAATTATCTGGAAATGGTATGGGACAAGGTGATGAACCTAGCAATCATCGTTGGCATATGACGCCGACAGCCTAGTAGCCTAGTCGGAGCTTTGATAGCATCAATTCTATTGAAGATGGATCAGGAAGATGCGTTGCAGAGGACTGGATTGATGATGATAGAGCTAAGTATGACTAGCCTCCCCGGCAACAGAGGGGAACTTATGTGTACGTATGTCCCGTGACCCACACCAATGCACCTTCTTCCAACACACCCCCAGAGGTGCTTGGTTGCCATATTCTGTTGCCGTATAAAGATCCTTTATTATACATAAATAAAAAAAATCATTTCCCATTTTCACCATTAAACTCCCAAGCAACGTTGCAGCCTAAAAAAAAAAAAAATGCGAACGTGGTAATCATCGGTCGACGGCAGCAAGAGTGCTCAAATATCGTAGAATTCGTCGTCATCATCGAATTCGTCGTCGCCGTCGACTTGATCGGCAACAGCGTCGCCACCAGGCGTAACCAAACCGGCTGCAGCGAGTTGCTCATTAATGATCTGTCGGATCATGGCATCGAGGTCGTCAATTCCATGGGCTGCGAGTTGTTCGTCAACGATCTGTCGAATGAGAGGATCCATGATCCCTGTCAACACCGGACCAGCGAGAAGCAGCATACTCTGGCTGGTTATCTGCTGGCTGACTTCAATCACAACGCGGTCCTCGACGGTCATGGACAAGGCTTCCCGTTCTTGCAAACTCAAGAAAGTACCGCTTGGCGTTTGTCGATCGCCGTGAGTCTCGTTGCCAAGAGCCGGTCGAGCAATTTCAAGCGTTTCGTTGACGGCGGCTTCGTGGTTGGGGGCAGCTGTGACATTTTCGTCGACGCTAGATTGTTCGTCGACGCTAGATTGTTCGTCGACGCTAGATTGTTCGTCGTTGGCAGCGTCGCTGCCGGCAGCAGCTTCGATCTCAGCAGAAGCAGCCAAGGTGGGAGCGGATGTGTTGCGACGGCCGTGGAGAGGATGGTACTGGCCGTATTCGCCCGTGAAATCGGATATGAGGTGGTTGCCGAAACGGCATCTCGCCTCCATCTTGTGATGGTCAACTCCATCAGGGTACAATGCGTTGAGAAGCACCCATTTGGCCCAGGAGTATGGTACAACATTGTTGCGATGGGCTCGATGGTTGGATGGTTTGGTTGCGGCGCTGGCCTCGATAACGAACCAGCCATCTGTCACAAGCTTGATGTACTGTCGTTGCTCCCATTCTTCCATGTTTGTTGCCTGCTTCTGGTAGAATTTCACGGCTTCGACGCCGTTGCTGTATTGCTGGTGGCGCATGGCATGGCGTCGTCGGATACGGTACTTCTTCACCAGCGCATTCTTGACGATCGAGACGTCCAGCGGCAACGGAGGCAGGTTGACCTCAACCTGTCGTCGAAACACCATGGCGTCGAAAAAACAGCGGCAACGTGAATGCGTATCAAAAGGTTAACTGGCTGTTGTAACGATATTGAGAAGAGGGCGTAAGAATAAAACGCGGCAACCTGGTAGAAACGAAGTTTTGAAGTTGTAGGTTGCTAAAAAAAGAAAGAAAGAAAATTGTGAATGCTGCAGGTGCGAGAATCGAAATTTATGTTCGTGGCAGATCAGCTGCCAGGCGGTGAGTCGAAAACTGTAACAACTACCAATTTTCCATTCCAAGGCTGGCGACTAAACGTAAGAAAGCTGGTCGTGGGAGTGCTTTAGTACATATATCAGCAGTATTATCCGTTCCAGCAACATGAAGAATATTAAACAATATTCCGTGATGTTGCCGGGTAAAGTGGAAGTGTGGACTAATATGTCGCGATTTGAAAGTAACCCGATCGTTTTGTGCCAACATGATGGCCGAATTGTTGTCGCAACGAAGAAGTGGGAGTTGCTTTCCTTGATCAATCTGGATGCCCAGATCAATAAGAAATTGTCGTGTCCATATAAGTTGAGAAGCGGCCTCAGAACATGCCACATATTCTGCTTCGCAGGAAAATTTGGCAACAATAGCTTACTTCTTCAACGACCATGCAATAGTGCCTCCATCAAGTTGCACAACGTAGGCCCCGACCGATTTACTCGTGTCGGGATCCGTATTATACAACGCGTCCGCGAAAACCTCCAACCGAGTCAGAACTTAGGCAGTGGGGTTTTGTCGACGGCGGTATATCAAGGCGCGATCAGCGGTTTGTTTTAAGAAACGAAGGACTTGTTTTATGCCGGAAAGGTGTTGCTCATTTGGATCCGAATTAAACGTCGACAGCATAGAAATCGCAAATGCCATATCTAGTCGAGTGCCAGTGACAAGGAAATTAATAGACCTAGACAGTTGTTGGTATTTTGTAACGTCTACTTGTTTATCACCGTCCGCTGACCTGAGAAAGAAGGTACCAGGATTAAGGGGGGTGTCTCGGCCGTTGCTTTCTGCTATGCCAAACCTTTTAATGATTCAGCGAGCGTAACCAGCCTGGCTCACGGTGATGCCCGTAGAGGATTATGCAATCTCAAGGCCCAACAGATATCGGCAGTGGCCCAAATCCTTGCATTTATATTGAGCAGCGAGCAACCGTTTGAATGAAGTAATTTCCGGTTCGTTGCCAGTGATGACAATGTTATTAACATACACGGCGATAATAAGATTATTACCAAGGAACACACAAGGGTCCGACAGCAACGGGGTTATTTTCATTCCATTAACGACTGTGCGACGAAGTTCGCCAAACCACTCGCGGCCCGATTGCTTTAGGCTGTAAAGTGCTTTTCGAAGGCGCAACACCCGGGGGAGTTGCGACGAGGTTTGGCAGACGTAGCCATCAGGGATGGCTATATATACTTCGTGTGATAGTTTGCTGTAAAGGTAGGCGGTCTTAACATCCATCTGGTGTACAATCCACCCCCGAAGGGCAGCAACACGAACAATAAGCCGCAGCGAGTCATATCGAGCAACAGGTGCGAAGGTTTCGTCGTAGTTGAGTCCGTGGATTTGGGTAAAACCGCGGGCAACCAGACGGGCTTTATGGCGCAAAAGATTTCCGTTCGCGTCATGTTTCTTAGCAAACACCCATCGAGGTGTAACAACAGGTTTGTCTTTTGGGCATAGTACCTCATCCCAAACTTATTTAGATATAAGGGCAGCAAGCTCGGCGTCGACGGCTTGCTGCCACTCTGTCGATTCAGCTGATCCCAGAGCTTGCCGCAGGGTGGTGGGTATCCCTTCGTCAACGGCGATCATAGCCACAGCCCGAATTTCCGTTTCATCATCGTCGGCGCAGTCGGCGCTTCTGCCAAAATCCTTCAGATATTGTTTTCTAGATCGGGTGCCCGCTCGAGTTGAGCGGGTACGCGAAGTCGGCGATGGGGTAGCGGCCGGAGAGTTACGGCCTCTAATGGCTGTAGGAATTCGAGATGGCGACGCCACAGTTGTGTTTCTCGCGTTTGAGGGCAACGGTGACGTCGCAACAGTACCTGGGGCACCCCCCAAGTCGAACTGGGTGGACTCAGATCGTTTTTCAACAATGAAATTATTGTTGTCATCACTAGACAAGTCCGGAGTCGTGGAGACAGTAATTGGTGTCGTATTCTCAATATCCCAGTAAATTCGTTTTCCAGGTGGAACGAAACGGACGTGGGCAAGCGTTGCCGTCGTAATCGTGTTCCTGGAGGGAACGTAGAGTCGCATCACAGCATTGCTGTCGTAGCCGACCAGATGAGCGCGTTCAGCGCGGTCGAGCAACTTAGTGCCAGGTTTGCGAGCTTCCTTGGGGATATAAAGATAACAATCAGCCATATAGGGTCGTAGATGCCCAATCGAGGGCCTGTTGCCGAAGAGTGCCTCGTAAGGCGTGATCTTATTTGGCAAGCCGGCGTGTGGCTTTAAATTCTTAACGTAGGCAGAGTAATTGATTGCCTCTGCCCATAGAAACAATCGATCATCCTAGATAGCAGTACGAGCGTCAGTAACGACGGTCCTCATATAACGCTCAATACGACCATTCGATTCATGTTAAAACGGTGGCGATCTCTTGTGACGAGTGCCGGTGAGCTGGAACACTTCTCTCGTCAGTTAACCTGTAAATTCGCCACCTCCGTCAGTGTAGAAGAACTTGACTTTGATGCCGAATTATGTGTCAATCATTCATATAAAGTTTAATATTTCATTAGCTACATCCTTCTTACTTTTTACAAACCTCATCCAAACGTATCTGGTTTTCTCGTCGAGAAACGGCAGGAAATATAGAGATTTGGACAGTAAGGGTATAGAGAATTTGCCAGAGAGATCCGTGTGTATCACGTCGAAGGGCTTTTGAGCTCGTTCGTCAACCAAGGTCTTTGGTCGACGAGACACCGATTTTGCCATCTCACAGGCGTGACAGAACCAATCTCTTGGCTCTGCTGGGACAAGGTTGCCATCAGTGTATAGTCGTTGGGCCGTGTTGTGAGACATACGTGCGTGGCCGACCGATTTATGAAAATCATTATAATCGGCAAAGCTCGCTTGGTCGACGATAGCTGTTGAGGGTTTATAAGCGTCGGGTTTGTCGTCCGTCTGAATTATAAAACCCCCTTCACGGTAGTTGGCCCACATCACCAGTTTTCCGTCTCTTTTGTGGACGAAGATGTCGTTGCCGTGTGCTGACATCTGGAATCGGTGGCGGACTTGACACCAACTGAAGAGTCTGGTGTTCTGTAGTCCTCGACTGTAGAGAGCGTCAGTAAATACAGTGTCGACGACGGTGCCGTCAGGAAGGCGCAAGAGCATTAGTATAGTTCCAATTCCGTCGACCGCGAGCTTGGTGCCGTTGGCGATGGAAATGGTGCCAGTTCTTGGCCGTATCTCAATGAAATCCGATTCGTGGCCCGACATGTGTCGAGTGGCTCCAGAATCAAAAATCCATGTTGACGAGGTGGCAAGGAGTTGGGGGGTAACATTTACCGCAAATGCTTGGATGTCGTCGGCATCAGTGAGGTCGATGATTTCGGCTGTTGCGGAACGGCCAATTGTCATCGAGCGTGACGTTGTTGGTGTAGATGGGGACAGGCTTGCGGAGGCAAGGAAGGCCACAGCGTCATCTCTGTCCTCATCCACATCGTCATCTTGGTCGTCGTCGGCGGCGGCTTGGCGAGCGTTATGTCTCGACTTATTCTTGCCCTTGTCGTTGGTTCTGTCTTTTTGCTTTTTGTACTCAGCCAGCCGTGGGCATTCGGTATACAGGTGTCCAACGAAGGTGAAATTCCTCTTGCGGCACCATGTACATTCGCACTGGTTGCCGGAAGTAGGTGATTGTCGAGGAACGTTGGCTCGTTGCTTGCCTCTTGCCGCAGTCTTGGTATACATCGCCTTCTCATCAGCGGGCTGTGCTCGGCGTTGAGCAATATCCAGCATCTCCGGCTCGATGTCGATGAACTTGTTGATGTTCCGAGATGAGAGATTGTTGATTATATTATCCATAGACTCCGGCAACGTTGACAGGAAGAAGGAGCCTTTGATTGCCTCTGAAGAGAAAACAGGCGTCAGGTTTTTCGCCAATTCTTGCGAGGAGGATCGGCAACGGCGTTCAAGGTGAGACCAGGCTTGATGGAATGTGTCGAGGTGTGCCACCAGATCATCCTGGTCATCGTATCTCATCGACGTGAGGTGTCGAAATTGATGGATGGTGGAGTGAGCGGTATCTCGATCGTATCTGTCTTGTAACGAGGTCCATGCTTGATGGGCGGTTGCGGCTGTAGTGATCATCGGAAGGTGGTCGGCGTGGACTGCCGACATCAGCATCACCATTGCCTTGTTATTGTCTTTCTTTCGCTTCTCGTTTGCGGCGGCAGCAACGATTGCGGCAGCGGCAGTCGCGGCGGGATCATCGGTGGCAGTAGCGGCAGCGGTGGCTGCCGTGGGTGGCTTCTGGTCGATGACGTCCCAAATTTCGCACCATTCAAACGCGATCTTCCATGCCGGTCGCCAGTCTGCATAGTTGTCTCCCTTGCTCGTCAGCTGTGGGAGACTGGATGGGTCGAGTTTGAATGCGAACGCGTTTGATGCCATTTTTGCGGGAATGCCGTGATCGGCGCCGTAGGGAGCAACGAAGAAGAAGCGGGGTTATGTTGTCAACAAAGAAACAGGTGCTGTGGCAGTCAATGCAACGATCAAATTTTAAAATCTGATCAAGGTCGATGAGAAGCGCCGGGCTCATAACCTATTGAAGATGGATCAGGAAGATGCGTTGCAGAAGACTGGATTGATGATGATGAAGCTAAGTATGACTAGCCTCCCCGGCAACAGAGGGGAACTTATGTGTACGTATGTCCCGTGACCCACACCAATGCACCTTCTTCCAACAGAATATGTAGCACCTAGACTTTTCATGTCCCGCTTAGCTGCATCCATGAGTGATTCAAACTTGCAGCTGCAGGTATATGGTTATGGGGGTATTGGAGTCGTCTCTGTGCCTGGCTTTCCTGCCGTTGCGGAGACTGAAACGGACTGTTGTGTGCCGCCGTCTTCTACTCCAACATCTGCATGATACGGCGTTGCGCCTCCAACGGCCCAAGCATCATCAACCTAGTAGAAATGGGATCATGTTGTGGTATTGATTGAGACGAAGGGGCGATCAGGGCTGTTTGAGCGGTAGTATTGATCATGGCGTAGCCAATGGTCGAGCAGGCTTGCTCGTGTTCCCTCTTCAACGTCGATTTATTAGCACAGCTGCTCGAGTTCCTCTTTGCGCGGGGTTGGGTACATAGTATTTCCTTGCTCCCATTGTGCGAAGGGTGAAGTCGACTGGCCTTTGTAAGAGTAGTGTCGGGAGGGCCAAAATTTCGATGAAGTTTGTATGTGTCCAGTTCTGATCCACGGTATGTTTGCGACAATCCGCTTGGTCGTCCGGTGTTACGCCAAGGGCGCATTTTCGGTATTCCCGAACACCGACGACCACTTCTTGGTATTGCATTTTCTAATTCAAGTCCAATTTCGCCTGTTCAACTGGATTGTTTCTTATATCTGTCGTTACAAGTATTATTATTGAAGTTAAGACATGGCATACTAGATGACCAACTTGGAGTAGTTGCCAATAAGTCCCTAGATTAAAATTTGGTAGCGGTGCTGGATCTGTTCGCCGGCGTCGATTACACAAAAGACAGCATCACGTAAAGCATAATGGCACAGTTAATCAAGTTTAACGGTTGTAATCTGTATTTTCCATTCACCGAGTCCATGCGCAGTCCAAACATCGTTCGTGCATGACACAAAAGGTTTCTCCCCAATGTCAAGCAACATCGTCGTTATTCGCTTGACGAACTCCAGGCGATTTAGCATATCACGATTGCACATATTGACCAAATCTACGAGAGCGAAATGTCCATGAAAAGTGTTTAGATGTGTCGTTATCTTCTCGTCTGAATCGACATACATTTGGGGAAAAAAACGAAACAATGAAAAATGAGAATTGTGTTCCTTCCACGATTTTGTCGCCCCTTAGGCGAGATGATCAGCGAGCAATCCCGATGCTACCAGCTGCCAAAACTTTTTTGTTTTCCACCCCCAACTCCCTGAATGCCTCCATATCCCATGGTTTCCCTCCATCATTGTCCTCTCATGTAGACGTTTATCGAGATGACATGGCCTTGGTGACGAGACGCTTGAGGGCGAGCTCCTGCTTCTTGAGGTCCTCGGCGGTGCTGTCGCCAAGCTCGAGGGCGGCCATGGCGTCGCTGATGGTGGACTCAATCTTCTCCTTCTGGCCACGCTTGAGCTTGAGGGACAGGGTAGGATCAGAGACAATCTCCTCAACACGGCCAATGTAGGACTCGAGCTGCTGCTTAGCCTCGAAACGCTTGCTGAAAGCCTCGTCGTTGGACTTGAAAGCCTCAGCGTCGTTGATCATCTTCTCAATCTCGCCGGTGGACAGCTTGCCGACAGAGTTGGAAATGGTAATGTTGGCGCTGCGGCCAGAAGACTTCTCAGTGGCGGTGACCTTGAGAATACCGTTGGCATCGACCTCGAAGATGACCTCGAGTACGGGCTCGCCGGCACGCATCGGCGGTATTGGCGCCAGGGTAAATTCACCGAGAGAGGTGTTGTCTTCACAATTTACGCGTTCGCCTTGGTAGACGGGGAACTGAACCGTTTGCTGTTGGTCGACAATTGTGGTAAAGGTTCTATTAGAGTGATTAGTGGTTGAGTTGTAGTAGCAAGATGAAAACGATGTCGAGAAATAAACGCGGCAACAAAAAGAAATGAGGGCGGCAACATAAAGCGACCCGCAGAAATAATGACGACATGAAAACAATCCCAGAAATGGCAACCACATAAAAAACGATCCCAAAGATAACGACGACATGAAAACGATGCCTAGAACGACGGCGACAGAGCAGAGCCGGCAACTGAAGGCGTTGAGACGACGCTATTGGAGAGAGTCGACATCGATGGCATCGGCGTTGCCATCAGCGTCGGCGTCGAGCGCAGCCTTGGCCTCAGCTTGGGCCTTGGCGACTCTAGCCTTGTGACGCTCACCACCCTCGTGTCTCTTCATGTGGCATAGGTAGAAGCAAGAGTATCCATAATACTCGCAACGCAAGTCCTTGACGACGCCGGCCTCTTCCTTGGCAACGTTGTCTCGATGACGCCTCGATCCCAGGTGCCGACGAAGACTATAGGGCTGCGAATACGTGTAACCACAGAGTGCGCAATGGAAGCGTTTGGACGCCCTCACGCGAGCTCTATAGCGGTTCTGATTGAGGATGATCGCGGGGCGAGAAAGCATCTTTGCACGAACATTGGCTGCACGTTGACGTTCTTGATAATCGGGTCTGAGCCGTAGGACAAATCGATGATAAAAGGCATTATATTGTTTGAGTTCCTCGCGGTGAAGTTGTCGATATTCCTTGTTCCATTTCCGAGCCTTCTCTTTGAGATCGAGAGCAAGTTGCTCCAATTGCTCTGGGGACAACTCAAGGTTGCCGACAATACCTTCAAGGAGAGGACTGTGGCTGCCCAAACCGCCATATGAAAACGACTCTCGAGGCCATGGGCAACATTGGCCCATGTTGTAGTCTTTGTTGACAGAGTACATCGACCAGAAAAGAAAGGTAAACGTAGCTTCAAGAGCGACGACTAGCAACCGACGTCGAGGAACTGACGACGGTAATGGGAGAACCGGTGTCCACGCGAGCAAGCCTTTGGAAGTGATTGAGTAACCGTTGCGACGAGCAGCACGCACGTAATAGGGCATGCTGTGGATGGTGAAAATTTCATACTGGCGAAGCCTAGCGGAGACACCACCTTTGGCATGGGTTCCAGAGCCAATATAGAGCAGTGGGAGACAATTCTTCTTTTCCATAACGATCGCGTAGACTCCCCAACGACGATGGGATTCCGTCGGCAACTCCTGAAAAAAATCGATGGTCGGAGGAGAAGATGACAATAATGCAGTTGAGAGCTGTGGACAGAACTGGAGACGAGCGTCGTCAAAGATAGTGGTGAAAGCTTCCAAGGAATCAAACACCAGGTTGAAGTTGCCATTCTTATGGACGGGTACAGAGAGGCAGTCCCAAACGAGCTCACGCATCACGTCAGCGATTGCGTCTTGAGATGCCATGGTGACGCAAACGATGTCGACAAATTGTCTTGTGAAACCAGGATGGTGACGAGGGAGAGACAGAGCAGTTGACGACGACGACTATGAGGAACCGGAAAAGAAGAGCGAGCGTAATGACGACGACAACGAACGACAACGAGCTGTCTTGGAAGGCCAGAGAACAAAGACAGAGAGGCAACGATGTTGATGATCTTGAGAAAGAAGAGGGAAGAGAAGAGAGAAAGGCGGCGACGTTGCCGGGTTAAAAATCATCGCGTGAGGTCCTTCCGGCATCGCTTCCACGACGGCGACGGCAGGCGCGCTTGCACTCTGTGTCGGCGGTGAGAAGCGAGGTTGTGGGCGCCTTCCAGCGTTATTTTCACCATGGTGATGGCAGGCGCGCTTGCGCCTCGGTCGAGAGCTCACACCATTGGCGTAACAAGCGAGATGGTGAGCTCCTTCCTTCGTTGCCACCACCATGGTGATGGCAGGCGCGCTTGCACCTCGGTCGAGAGCTCACGCCATTGGCGTAAAAAGCGAGATGGTGAGCTCCTTCCTCCGTTGCCACCACCATGGTGGAAGTAGGTACGCTTGTACGCTTGTACTCATCAAGATGTACATCGCAAGGATGCAGCACACTGGCGCCATTTCGACATCCAGGGATGTTGAACGAGAGAAGTCAGAAGAGAAAAGTAAAAAACTAACCGCTTTCGTAGGCAAGGCACTGTTTGTCCACGGGTAACGACGGGAGCGAAGATGTTACCCTCCATGGCAACACCCAGAGACAGGGGAACAACGTCGAGCAGGAGAAGGTCGGCGGTCTCGGCGGAGGTGGCCTTTCCGGAGAGGATACCGGCCTGGACGGCGGCACCGTAGGCAACGGCCTCATCGGGGTTGATGCTCTTCTCGAGCTTCTTGCCGTCGAAGAACTCGGACAGAAGCTTCTGGATCTTGGGGATACGGGTAGAACCACCGACCAGGACAATCTCCTCGACGGCGCTCTTCTCGATAGCGGCATCCTTGAGGACCTGGGCAACAGGCTCGAGAGTGCCAGAAAAGGCCTTGGCGTTGAGCTCCTCGAAACGAGCACGGGTGATGGTCATGGTGAAGTCCTCACCCTCGAAGAGAGAGTCAATCTCAATGGTGGCCTGGGCACCGCTGGAGAGGGTACGCTTGGCACGCTCGCAAGCAGTGCGGAGTCTTCGGAGAGCACGGGGGTCGCCGCTGGGGTCCTTCTTGCTCTTGCGGGTGAACTCCTTCTTGCAGTGGTCCAACAGGTTGGTGTCAAAGTCCTGGCCACCCAAGTGGGTGTCACCAGCGGTAGCCTTGACGGTGAAGACACCACCCTGGATGTTGAGCAGGGAGACATCGAAAGTACCACCACCAAGATCGTAGATCAGGACGTTGCGCTCCTTGTCAGTCTTACCAGCACCCAGACCATAGGCGATAGCAGCAGCGGTGGGCTCGTTGATGATACGGAGGACGTTGAGGCCAGCAATGGCACCAGCATCCTTGGTAGCCTGACGCTGGTTGTCGTTGAAGTAGGCGGGGACAGTGATGACAGCCTTCTCAACCTTCTTGCCGAGCTTGGTCTCAGCAATCTCCTTCATCTGTAGTTTTCGTATGTTAGAATTTGGTTCCACAGCAGAAGATTTTCTTGCCTCAGTGATGTCACTAGGCGAGTGTAGAGAGGAAGCGTACCTTGAGGAGGACCATGGAGGAAATCTCCTGGGCGGAGAAGCTCTTCTTCTCGCCGAGGTACTCAACCTCAATCTTGGGGTTACCAGCATCGTCAATGACCTTGAAGGGCCAAGACTCGATATCCTTCTTGACGGTGGGGTCATCGAAGCGACGGCCGATCAGACGCCTTGAGGTGAAAATTTTTGTCAGCCTCCAAACTCCGGCAGAGTTGTTGTAGATGGCGAGAGGAATACTCACTTGGCATCGAAGACGGTGTTGATGGGGTTCATGGCAGCATTGTTCTTGGCGGCCTCACCAATGAGACGCTCCTTGTCCGTGAAGGAAACGAAGGAGGGGGTGGTGAAGGAACCCTGCTCGTTGGCAATGATCTCGACATTGTTACCCTCGTAGGTGGCAACGCAAGAGTAGGTGGTACCTGGAGAAGAGATTATGTTAGTTTTGAAGAGTTGAAAACTTGAATAGATGGTTTATGATTGCATTGAAGAGAGAAGAGAGGAAGAGTTTCCTCTGATGCTCTCGCAATTCGCTCGTCGGTTTGCCAGCAACATGGATGAGGGGCATATCGACGAGAAGCAAAAGAAGAAAGAAAAATAATTTTGTGTGCAACTCACCCAGATCGATGCCGATGGCACCGTCATAAACTTCGTCCGCCATTTTTTTAAGGGTTATGAAGGATAAGAAGAAGAAAAAAGAACCTTCAAACTGATGTGAAGGCTGAGACGAAGCAGGAGATGGATATGGTGGAAAGGGAGAAAAAAGAGAGCAAACGTGGGGTTGGTTTGCAAGAAATACTTGCCGCCAAATTTTCTGAGCCCGGCCGCCAAAGAATTTCTGCCGCCTTTACTTTTTTGCTGCGAACTTTTTTTTTTTTTTTTTTTTCCTTTTTTCCCACAGCAAGCAAATGTGCATGCAAGGTGGGGCAAGCGATAAGTTTTTACGGCATGGTCCCTTATCGCGCTAGGCCTGTCTGGGAAAGGCTCTCGTTGAAATTTTCTTTTCGCGCTTGAGAGGCTGAGCCACCAATGATCTGGGACATGATGAGGGTACACGGTCAGCAGCCAATCAACTTGGGCCATGCCGAGGGAAATTTTTCATGGGGGCGTTGCTGGGGCGAGATGTTGATGAAGAAAAACCCCCGAGTTATGCTACCGGGTTTTTATATACGGTGTAGATGCATACAATCTAGTCTAGATGTCATGTACTGAGTCTATATTCGTTATATCATGCTCTTGAGTCTCCAAGCCTCTTCACAACCATGTTCCCTTCTCGACAACCAACCAAACACTCATGCTCTTGAATTGACAAGCGTCTTTCCTACCATGTTCCTTTCTTGACAACCAAATAAACACCCATGATCTTGAGTCTCTAAGCTTCTTCACAACCAATCAACAATCACCCAACACACTCTACAATCCCAATCGCTTCGCCCTCTGGCTCACCACCTCGGCCACATCGTCCTCCACACTAACTCTTTGCTTCGGCGCCCAGCCAAGATACTTGGACGCTCTCTCAGCCACGCCCTTGGAGTTTCGGCCAAGCGATTGCGCTACCGGCTGGTAACCCTTGAGCTTCGCCTGCTCAGCTAAAGTCACCCTCTTGAGCGGGACATCAGCCAAGTACCCCTGCTTCTTAATCTCCTCCGCAGCCCGCTCGGCAATCCTTGTGAAATTCAGCGTGCCGTAAGGGCAGTAAAAGTAGCCATTGGCGCCAAAGATCTCGGGGTTGGCGTTCTTTGAAGGGTCTTGAGTAGCGTTGAAGAGCTTGAGAAACAGGTCGCCCAGGTCGTCAATGTGGACGTAATCCCACTCATTCTTGCCGTCTCCAACAACGGGCGCGAATCCCTCGCTCAGAGTCATGTCCACGAGGGTGGGGATCTGAATGGTCTGCGTGTTGCCAGCACCAGAACCCTTGCCGTAGATGAGAGGCGGGCAGAGGATGGCAATCTTGACAGCATCGGAATTGGAACCGATAACAAGCTTGTCAATGAGTCTGTGGTGGGCTCGGTCGTCCAAAGTCTTGATGCGCTCAATGTCGTTGATATCGTGATATTTCTGCTCGGGGAGAGGAGGTTGTCCTTCTCTGCCGTTGACATGATCGTACCAGGTCAAGATGCCCGTTCCGGAAAGGTGTAGCCAGTATCCAGGCTTTTCGGCAGTGTGGCTCTTCTCCAGGCCTTTGGCGATTGCTTGAGCACTAGCGATGTGGTCGGATGAGTCTGCAGTGTCTAGATTGCATTGTGAGCTCAATGCTCATAGATCACTTTGTTTCTTTGTTTTTCACAGCTTACGGACAACAACGTCGGCCTCTGAAGCGGCCTGTTCAATGACATCGACATCGTCAAGAGAGCCGTAGACAAACTTGGCTGTTGGGTATTTTGCCTTTACGGTCTGGGCGCGAGCTTCGCTGCGAACAAGGAGAGTGTACTCATTGTCCTTGTGAGCGTTGTAAATGTAGTCAAAGGCTGTGCCTCCAACGTAGCCAGTAGCACCGGTGCTGTAGATTCATTCGAGTTAGCGCTATAAAGCATGGAGATTGAAAAAGAGATAAGAGCTGATTAGTGCGGGGGAGGTGCATACACAAAGACTTTAACAACCATGGTGTATGTTTGGTGTGGATGGCGGTGCAGAGTATCAATTACAATATGATATAGAACGGTAAGGCTTTTGTTTGTATTGGTTTGAGATCGGACAAGTTTGAATTGAAAATCTAAATCATTCCTATCCTAGCAAGCAGCAGGAGACGAGTTTATATACTTCGCATCCTTCGTTTCGATCTCTGCATCAAGTCTTTTTCCTCCTTAGAAATCCCATCAAAGAGTCGATTTGTAACATCGCGCCCAAAGTTTCCCTCTGAACAATCAATTATGGGGCATGGAGGGGCCAATTACACACAGAACGGCGTGTGGCGTGACATCATGGGTTTTAGCCCCTCCAAAAAAGCAACATCCAGGGCGGCTTCTAACTTGACACTGCCCCCGATCTTGGATCGCAGCTAGAAGGATGAGCTTGAAAACCGGGCACTTGGTTTGAGGCAACTTTGTCCGTTTATTTTTCTTACGAGATGGTGGCCTTTGGGAGTTTCTGGTTTGCTTGGTATTGATCACCAAACTGCTTGGTTGCTCATGCTTATCAATCCCGAGCTTCTTCCTTGGCCACTCTCTCCTCGGCCTCTTGCAAGATGTATGATGGATTGGATTCAGAAACAGTGGTTGAAACTCGGAATTGCGATGAAAACCCTTAAAATTTGTCTCTTCATATTGTACACCAGGTGGAATTGGCCTTCCCAGACACAAATCCAATGCTCAATTCGTTCAACTATCTAGGACTTCCCCAGCATCACAGTATTAAGCATAGAGCTTCTTTCGACCCCGCTCTCCTCGACAAAAGGCGCGAGCCCCGGGCCTAGATCGTACCTTACCTCGTACAGAGGAACCAACACGTTGTTGTACCAACGCAACTTTGTCTCAAAGCTTACCTAGTACTTGACTGACTGAGAGTGGTTTATCCGAGGGGCGCTGACCGCCCTTTATCCGCATGGCCATGGCTTCGCAACTTCTTACTCTCTTTTCCACATTCCTCCTCCAACTTCCATCCACAACCCCATCCACCTAGTCTGCCCACAACCACTCAGCAACATGCCTGACTACACTTACAAGAGCTCCGGCACCAATAGCCAGGTACATAACTAAACCCGAAAGCTCCAGTTTTTTTTTATTCTTTCGGAATGTTCTTCTCTAACTAGATTCTCCAAGGGCAACCACTATTGCGCTCGTGACTACGGTAGCGGCGCTTCCAACTCCAACTCCTATCACTATTCCAACCAGTAATATCTACCGCTTCTAGATTCACCCCTGATTCTGTTCTGACCTGAAGACTAGGGACGGCTCTTACTATTACTCCAACCCCAATGGAAGCACCTACTACAACGACGGCGCCGGAAGCTCCACATACACTTCGCCTAGTGGAAACTCCTCTTCGCAGTCCCAGTCTGGAGGTGGCAGCAAGAAATAGCTAGCCAACGGAATCTATACTGGCATGCCGTAGAGCCGATGGCATCCAGTATTTCTGAGCCGGATCTTCGTGACGAAATGGGTCAGAAAAACATGAGCTTTGGCATGAAATGGAAAGGCTTCAGTCCTAGGCCTTGGCCAAATAAATTATGACATCCTAGAGTCTTTTATCTTTCCGTGACACTCACGCGGTATTGCCTTGTATCGGTTGTAATCAAGAACATCCCTACAGATCATCGCCATCATTTCAGTGCAAATGTGATCAATTTGGTTTGCCTACATAACAACAGTGACTAAACGTTTGGTTCCTCGAAATTTTCTCCGTATCTCGTCAAGTATGACCTGAATCCTAAGCAGAACTGTCCATCTCCCAACCGAGCACCAGTATTTAAAAAGCAAAAATCTCCTTTAGCCTAGAAAAAGAAGCAAGAAATGGCAATTTCCCTGAAAATGATAACCGAACAAAGCATTGCATGACCATGTCTGCCGTGAGGCAAAGCTTGGGTAATGAGCAAGCATAATATGGCCGTCACGTCTCTCTTAAGAGATGCGGCTTGAAAAACAAGCTCAAAGATGGCCATCTTGTCTGCTGTAGGATATGGCCTGAAGAACGAAAAAGCGCAAGATAGACATCTTGCCTGATGTAATTGCGCCCTGTAAAAACGAAAGGAATATGACATTGCCATCTTGTCTCTTGTCAGACGAGGCCCGAAAAACGAAAGAGCGTGCGCGATATTATCATCATCTCTGCCGTGAAAATTGGCCCGGAGAAACAAGAAAGACTGAGATCATCGTCTTGTATGGTGTGAGATGAGTCCCGAAAACCGAAAGAGCACGTATGGGAGTATTATCATGTCCGCCGTGAAATATGGCCCGAAAAAAACAAAAAAAGCTGGAGATCATAGTCTCGTGTGCTGTGAGATGAGGCCTGAAAGAAGAAGGAGGCCCGAAATGACCATGTCCGCGCTCAGAGTTTGCCTGAAAAATGAAGAGTCGTAAAGACAATGACAATCGTATAGACAAAGATCTCGACCAGGAGCTGCTGCAAGAGCATGCCGCGCTGCTCTTTGCTGAAGCCCTGCGTCTCGCCAAGAGCATACCAGCAGACGGTGGAATCGAATCTGCCAATCAAAGCAAGAAGGCCAATCAGAGGGAAAACAATGGAAGAAGCCATGATGCAAATGAACAAGATTCTGCGTTTGCGCTCCGTTTCTTCAGGGCATCGGCGACGTTCCATGATTTCTCCCCGAGCAGATTCAATCAGGTCGGCCTCAGAGGGGGTAAGCACGCCTCCCGTTTCGTTTCTGGTAGCCCATTGTTGGTCATTCTCAGTTTCAGGAGGGGGAGCCTTGATTCGAAGGCATTTAGCTCCCAAGGCAGCTGCGGATCGGAAATGTCCAGCGCGGCTTTCTTCAGCTGGCGGCTTTGGTCGTAGACCTAGTTTCGATCTGAGTGAGCCTAGAATAGCCGACGACGGGGTTGGAGTGTTGTCGATAAAGTCAAACTCAGCTGGAGCCGCCAAGTGTTAGCAAGATCATCTTTCATTTTTCCTTTACTCAAGGGCCAACTTACCAGTGGGACGGCTATGAGCCACTTGATCGCGAAACACCGCGGTAGAGGGACGTTCCACAGAGGGATTGTCAGAGCCACCGAAACGGTAAGCACCGGAAGAGGATGGGCCAGCCTCGGGAGAGCTTCCAGACCAGAGAGGTCCAAATCTTGCTCGCTCAGCAAAAGAGTTAGCCGCCTCCGCGTTGCGATATCTCTGAGAGCCGTAGCATTTGGCAGCTTCTTCCAAATCGATTAAATCGAACGGGAGACGAGAGAAGACGTTGGCGGAATCATCACTCGGCAGAGTCGTATCGCCAATCTGAGTTTCGCAGAAAGCCTGGTCGAACTCGTTCACCGTTTCGTTACGACGAGGGACTGCCGGCCAAACGGTCTCGGTAGAGTCGTTACGCGTCAGAGGAGGAGCAATTACCCGTCCTTGGACAGTTTGCTTCGAATCTTCTTTCTCCTCATCGTCGTCTAGCTCTACGACTCTGGCTGAAGTTTTCCAGTCTGGGGGAGTCTTGAAGGGATTCGACAATCGCCGGGCAGCGGGACGGATCGGCTCTTCAAAGATTTGCTGACGACGACGACCAGCATTAGGAACTCCACGAGCATTTCTGATGCGAGGAGTAGTCCATGCGGGGTCTTCGGTGAAGAATCCCTCAGCACGGTGGATGGATCGATTGCGTTGGTGCGAGATTATACCAGGAGCTCTACGGTGCTCGATGGGGGTGGGTTGTTCCTCCATAATATCGGAGACATCGGCAAGGCTGCTGCCAGTACCTTTGATGAGATTGAGGTCGGATTGATTTTGCATCTTGCAAACTGGCCCGGTAGTGACAGTTTGCCAATCAGCCTCTGTGCCAGCGTCTTTGCAAACTCGCGGCCAGCACTCATCATCATCTTCTTCCTCGACGACGGCCTCAGAGTCCTGTTGGACGTAGGGCTGGTAACGAGCCTTCTGAGCCCTATCAACGGGAATTCGCACCTCGTCATTGACCTTCTAGGTCGATTGAACGGCGGTCGGATTATAGAAAGTGGTGTCATTTCCTCCTCGGTCTACTTTGGTTCGTAGGGTGAAACCTTGGTCTTCGAACATGCCTGTAGGCCGACGCTTTGAGGTTTTAGTTTCCCTTGTGCTGGAAGGTTGCAAAAAGGTCGAGTAAGCCTCTCCATCGTATTTGAAACGATCAGTACTCTCGTCGCTCGAAGTCTTGGAGTTGACGGGGAAGGCACCGAGTAGTCCATTTCTTGCGCGAGATGGACCTGCAGTCTGGCTTGGGCCTCCATGGACAGGCTGTCTGACGAATCCAGTATGTCCGCAGTAGACGCCGGATGGGTGGGTGCTCGCCTCCATGTCCATTCTAAGAGATCGTGGTTCAGGTATTTCTGGGCTCTTGGAAAAGCCGAATGCATCAAATGGAGTACCAGGTCTCGAGAAGGGTGGCTTCTTTCCTTTGCCCTTGACATCTCGGGCATCACCATCATTGGAATCATCATCATTCGCGTCATCGTCAGACTCAGGGACGAGACCTAGGCTCTTCAATGTAACCCCGGCGGTCGGTGCATTGGCCATTTGGCTGTCGCCTTCGTCATCGCCAACGACGGTCTCCCACTCAGAGCGTGCTTCATCTCCATCCGCTTTGGTAGGAGGCTTAGGATGAGTAAGGTTGCGTCCCATGCTCCATTGAGAGCGAGATGGATGTTCCAGAACATAAGATTGAGCATTCTGGTCATCATAAGGGGAGCCATCAGGAGGCGGAATTTCATTCCTAGCGCAAGCAAGGAAAGGGTCCTCTCGAGATTGATTCCTTGCTACGTATTGCTGATAAGCAGTAGGAATTTGAATGATGGTCGGCTTGCTCCATCCATATTTTGGAATGGTTGTCTTTTTTTTTGAAGTTAGTATCGCGATGGCGGAGATGAGTGGTCAAGGAGGGAGCATACCTCGCCAAAGTTAGGCATGTTGAGATGATTGATTCGACAACTTCTAGAGTGATTCTTTCTCGATGCTTTTGGTCCTTTCTCGAGATATTTTCCTCTGAAGTTGATGATTGAGATGTTTTTCTGCCCCCAGAAGAGGAGAGAGTTGAAGGCAAATGGCTCGCAACTTGGAACCCACTCCTAGAGATAGAGTAGATGCAAGAGCCTGAAGAGTTGCCGATGGCTTTGATAGAAGTGCTCTGCTAATCTGTGAAGTGCAGAATGCTTGATGATGCCTGATGAGATCACTAGCATATATCGAGTTGCGGTGATGATGGAAGAAGGATGGAAGGAATAAAGAATCAGAGTCCAAGCTCAATATCAGGAAAAGAAAGATGAGTTATAATCACGTGCACGCCTCTTGGATGAGGATTATCAGCGCGAGGCCGAGTGAATTGGGTGCGGAGATGGATGAATTGGTCAAGTTGGTTTGGGGTGGAGGAGAAGGAAGAGTCCCCGAGGGTTGGTGTCGAGGGGGGGAATCAGTGCGAGCCCGCCAGCTGGCAGAGGGAGGAGAGCGTTGTGGGCAAGGCAGAAATTCAGGCGAAAAGCCCTAATAGGTCTGCTTCCCCAATCAGCTCCTGTTTGTTTACAACAGACGCATTTACTGTTACTGATCGTCTGCCTTGGTTTGTCTGAATTTCCAACGCGCTACGCGTCTTCTTTGATGCCCGCATTTACATTAGCCCATTGCGTCAAGCATCTAGACATTAGACGACGATTTGTATTGCTAGACTTGCGTTGGGGTTAAACTATTTCTCTTGTTCCCGCAACTGTTGCAATTGATGCCTCCGTGACACTCGCCTACATCTTGTGATTGATGATGCTTGATTCGAAAAAGAGTCTCTGGCTGCATTGAGGCGTTCGTGAAGATGATGCTACTGCTATTTTCCGGGTGGAGTAATGGTGTGGCTGCTGGTACCACACGTTGGGTCTCTTTGACTCAGCCTTACCAAAGATCCAGCGACCCCATCCTGACACACAGGCCAATGGGGAATGTTCTCTATATCAGAGAGATGGCTTTGGTACATCTGCGGAGTTGGCTGGAGGACACAATCGCTGCATTGGGGCACGTCTAGTAGAACAGGGTATCGCCAATTATCAAACGCGGTACAAAGATGGTCGAAATAGAACGCTCCACGATGGAACCATTTCCTCCCACAGGGAACAAGGCATCACCACGAACAATTGACATGTTCATTGGTGTCCTGCATGCCCTGTTGGCGATGCCTGCAACTGCCGGATCGTATTAGTTGATCGATGTGTTACCATTGGGCCGACGGGATTCAGATGGCTTGAGCTGGGATCTGATGCTAGTGCCTAGTCCTACGGCTTCTACTCGAGCTAAAACATGGAGCCCAGCCCCTTTTACCTTATCCGTCCCGCGAGCCAATCAATCCCCCAGCCGCCCGTTGACCAACAAGGCATTCCCCAGCGAAGCTCTACCTGTTCCCCCAATCAAGCCCGCTGCTAACTCGGCACCCGAGGTATGGAACCGAACCCTTGCTATTGGTCTTACGCGATATATTACGGAGCCTGCTGCTACTGTAGGAGTTTGTCACTCTCTTACACACTAGCGAGGACGGCACGGGCAGGTCCCTAGGCCCTGTTAAATCACGCTTGAGAGATCTTCCAGCCCGACCTCTTTGCCATCCAGTCCAACCTCCGGCTCCTCTGTTCCATCTCGGGTCCCCATCAGCGACGTCAAAAACCCCATCTCGGCCAGCCTGGCGTTTTGCTCTCCCTCCCTTGCCCCCTGTAGGCAACATTGAGGCTGGCCTCGGAGGCATTTGCCATGGCTTCGTCCGGTCGGTCGTCGCGTTGGGACGAGCTTCCAGATGAGATCGTGCTCCAGATTCTTAGCTGTAAGAGATCCACTCGCCCCTCCACTATCTTGTCGTCTTCGTAGACTGGGGATAAAAAAGGCGAGGCCTGTGCTCAACTGACTCGATCTTTGTTTGCCATCAGATCTGGATCCCTTGCACATCACCAGATTGCAGCTTGTATCGCGGAAGCTGCAGAAGCTCTGCCTCGACGATGAGCTGTGGAAGCGTCGCTGCTTCGAAGAATCGCCGTGGTACCAGCACCTCAAGAACCGTCGTCGACTTTTCTCTTCCAGCGAATCCGAAGACCAATCCCGGGATGGAACGGCGGCATTGGGGGACCTAGAGGCCTCCGGAAGCACCAGCGCTGATGGCCAAAAGACCATCGTGGATGGAGAGAAGAACAGCGATGAGCCGGGCAAGCCGCAACGGAGGAGCCAGCGATGGCAGGAGCTCCAGGATATGGCAAACTGGGATCCGACATTCCCCAACGAGCGAGTCTCCTGGTACAGCGAGTATATACAACGGAATGGGCCGACTTGTGTCAACTGGCTGCAAACCCCCCGAATCCGCGACCGAGGGTACGAGGCCATGATGGAGGCTCGTGGACTGGAGCTCTATTACCCATACGACGGAAACGATGGCGTAGGCGCAATGCTTGCCGTATCGCCGCTCGACGACGGCTCCATCTGTCTGTGGGACGTCAAAGGAACTCGGGGCAAGGCCGGCTCTATCCTAGCAACCAGCAAATCCGACATTCTTTTCATCGATGGTCCTGGAAGTATAAACACTCGACGATCCAAGAGAGTTGATACAGGGGTTACGGAATGCGTTAGCGTAGACAACCATAGACATCGTGCATATTTTGCTGTACAAAGCCGTGAGTAAAACCAGAACACCCCCCCAACAAGCAGGCAATCTTTCCGGGATGCTGACGGCAAGTTGCAGATTTGATCGAAATCGACCTCGAACGGCTAGAAGTCGTGAGCCGCGAATCGTTCGAATGGTCCATCACGGCTCTTTCAAAGATTCAAAACGATGTTCCTCTGACGGTTGGAACATCTCTTGGGATTCATTTGCACGATTTCCGTGCAAGAGCCAGGGTAACACAGGCGGCCGTAGAGCAGGTGGATCAAAACGACATCTTTAAATCAATATTCGACCCGACGCCGCTGCTCCCATACGCGTCTCTTTCTCAACCCACGCCCGTCAGCATTATACATCTGCCCCTACGCGGATCGCCTGACCTTGTATCAAACGACATTTACGTGGGCGGCAGATTTTCAAACATTCTGCACTATGATCGGCGCAAGTTTCCCGTAATCATGGACTCCATTTACTCGGGGGCTACGATCAACAGCATGGCAGCAATGCCTCACCCATTCTCATCGCTAGATAGCGAAGTACGACGGCACGGCGAGCTCAGCACAGAGCAGGTCACAAAATCCAAGGCAAACGGCGAGGGCTGGACACTTGTTGCGGGGGGAACATATAAGTCAAAGGGTTCCCTCGAGATCTTTGGTCTCGCCCAGGCCGTTGCAGATCCAGTCGGTCGTGAGATGATGCAGAACTCCACCATGAAGAATAGGCAAACCGCCGCGTCTGCCTCCATCCTGTCAGTGGCCAACCACGGCACCAAGATTGTCTTTTCAGATGGAGCCGGCTCCATCAAATGGTTTGAGAGGGACGGCTTGACAGAATGCCGCCGGCTGAGGATTGGCCACTGCGAGGGCGACGATGCCCCATCGCTATTCGCCTCAAGGAGTGCAGCTGGCGAGCTGGCGCGGAAAATCGTGTCCACAAAGTCGAGGGAGGGTCCGGATCGGCCCAATGATGATAACGTCTTGTTCTGGACGGGCGAGAGGCTGGGGCTCGTTAGCTTCACGCCGACGCCACTCTATCAATCCAAGGACTTTGACGAGGAGCCGGACTTTGGCACAGCGGCCGAGGAAGAGGAGAGGCAGCGCTATGCAGAGCAGATGCGCGAGGCCCTGGATCGGCAGGCAGACGAGGTTAGATTCATGAATACGTTTGGGCATGGTGGGCTAGGGGAATAATGAAGGATTACGACTGGTCAAAGGTATTCTACCTACAAAGCGGCTATAACAGGTTTATTTTTGCATTGCGTTATGAGGGGAAATTGGGTGGACGGGGGAGGATCATCACGACACTTGGCCACCCGTCCAACGGAAGGGAAGAGATTGACTACTACCTACCCAGTAGCTTTACATAATATCATAACGGCCGACCAATATGTATTAATCAAAAAGGCGGCGATCAAATGACCAGTGATGGCCATGGCCAAGTCTTGAACTAATAGCAATCCAGACCCCTTTGGAAGCATGAATCTGCTGCTGCGACGCTATCTCGTACATTACATATGCCTCTTGTCTACTCTCCACGCGGTGATTCGTGCTAGATTGGATGGAATGATGTTTGATAGGACGGCGAATCTGCGCCTCGTACGCAGACTACCAATAAGTCCCAGGTGGCGGCGACAGAAAAGAGGCGAGCGAGCCAATGAGGCGAAAGACGCGGCAACTCATCACCAACAACCGAAGGATTGGCGATGGGCCAGGATTGGAGGTTTCTTCTGCATCCAAGCCGCCCTCGCCCCTTGTACGTTGTATCGCTCTCAACAAGAATTTTTCTTCTTTACGAGTACTCTCTCTTCCCGCTTCACCGCAAGCATGCATTGGGACTGGCTCGACTGCCTGCATAAACTAGGTTACCCTGCCTTGCTCTTTTTTCCCTTCCCATGTGTGCTACTCACCACGGCGTGATGCCACCTTTTTTCTTTCTTTTTCTTTCTTTTTCTTTACAAGGTTAAAGGCCGAATTCCCTCAAGGACCGCCAGCAGTGGGCGAGGAGACAACAAGGCAGCCAATGATGGGGGGGTGCTTGAGGCACATCAATGTCCAATGACGACGTGGCCCGGTGCTGGACTTGTTTTGTTGGACAAATCGGTCTGGAGAGGCGACGGCACGAGGAGCAAATCGCCGTGCCTGTGTGGCTGGACGAACCATGTGCTCGCCCGAGTATGTAGTACCGCGGTGAAGAGAGAGCAACACGTACAGAACAGAATAGAACAGCTCAATTACAATCAAATGTTAGTAGCAGCAGCCCCGGGACGCCCGCCCCCTTTGGAAAACCAGCTGG